TCAAACTACTCAGAAAAGATCAAGTTGTTGTATGGAACGACAATTGTCAGAGAGCTTTTGAGAAAATAAAAGACTATCTGCAAGAAACACCGGTCTTGATGCCTCTAGTGCCTGGATGACCTCTGATCATGTACCTAACCGTGTTAGAAGAATCCATGGGATGCATATTGGGTCAGCATGATGAAACCGGTAGGAAAGAACATGCAATCTACTACCTCAGCAAGAAATTCAACGACTGTGAAATGAGATATTCAATGCTCGAAAATACATGTTGTGCATTAGCTTGGGCTGCAAAGCGCCTAAGGCAATATATGTTAACGCATACAACTCTGCCGATTTCCAAGATGGATCCCGTTAAATACATATTTGAGAAGCCTGCTCTCACCGGACGAGTGGCTCGTTGGCAAATGGTACCGACAGAGTATGATATTCATTGGTAGTATGAGAGATAATCTTTTAAGGAGTATGCTCAGCGATGGAGAGACCTCACTTCCCAAGTTGAACCTTCTCTTGCAGAGAAAGAACTCACTGGAATGTTCATGGATACCTTGTCTCCCTTCTATTGAGAAAATATGATCGACAACATTTCCTCCAACTTCACAGATTTGGTTACCATTGGCCAAAGACTTGAAAAATGTCTCAAGAATGGCAAAGTGTCTAAAGCTGCTGAATCTTCTAATGTTGCGAAGAAATCCTATGGGAACTTCCATAAAAATAGAAAATACCAAATTAATGTTGTCATAACTAGTGAGAGAAGACCTCGTCCGAGATCTCAGTATGCTAGACACCCTGATGTTGATGATGTTACTCCCGTGGCTGCTACTTCACAGCCTGTTCGAGCTCCTCAACATCCGACAGTTGGACAAAACCAGAACTAGAATAGGACTCACTTTGATCCTATTTTTATGACATAGACTGAATTGTACCCTGATGTGGTTCAAAAAGGCTAGATTACTACAAGGATTATACGTCCTCCTCCAAATCCTCTTCCAGCTGGTTTCAGGTTTAATCTCCATTGTGCATTCCATCAAGGTGTCGCATGCCATGGTTTGGAAAATTGTTATGCACTGAAGGCTAGAGTGTGTGATTTGATCAAGGACGAAATTCTTACCTTTCATGGCATCAATCCTAATGTCAACAACAATCATCTGCCAGCACATGAGAAGTGAAGCTTCAGTCAACTTTAGCTAGTGATCCTCCTAAAATCCAGTGTTTCAGACATGCCAGCTCACCCCTGTTGTTGATTAGTCACTAGGCCATGTTTCTTGTTGTTTGCATTTTCCTTATTTGTATTGGCTGTTTTTTTCCAAGTTATGTTTGTACTTTCATGTTAATGAATGAGCATTGCAACATTTTGATTCAATTCATTGTTTGTTATTTGCATCTTTATGCTTTATCTTTCAAAAATATATATCTCTTGTCCACTTCCTTTTGATTATGCAAAGATTTGAGGGAGGATGATGAAAACTTTATACCCATAATCGCTGTGTGTATGCTTTCAAATCGAAACTTTGTTGACGATGTAAGGCATTGTTTCAAATTCCCAAACACTGGAGAAATAAGGAAGTTATTCCTTTGTCATCCCCTTCGAGCCTAGAAGTTAGAGTTTCTTTCTTTACAAAAATTGAATTCTTAACCTTGGGACGGGTAGTTCCTATTTAAAATGGTTGTGTGTTCATGCAAGACACCTTTCATATAAAGATTGCATTCGCAAATTTTCCTTCACTTAACAAACAAGTGCCGAAGATGTCTTTCAAGCCAAAAATCAATGATGGTTCATTGTAATCACTAAGCCTGGAAATCACCTTCTTTCTAAAAAAAGAAGAAAAAAATCAAAAGAAAAGGTCTGCTAAGTCAAAACCTATGAAGGAGACTTAGGGAAAACTGGGGCATCCCGCTGACTGTAAGCTTCAAAAGAAACAATTTAGACAAAAGTTAGGGATAATAAAAAGAGGAAATCTTTAAGTCCTTATCATGAAAGTCTTCAATGACAAAAACAACTGAATATTGTAAGGAAGCAGTGACTTCCATCTCAAGGCTCCCTTGACTTCTGAACCATCATCATCACTATCGTTAGTGCAATTCCTCAACCTCTAGGAATTTGAGTGCATAGTCTGAGTTAACTGAGCGTATGACTGAAGATCATCACGAAGATTGGGTAGGTACAAAATAAACTTTAAGCCTTTATCCTTTGTTTCTATAACCGTGAACCAGACCACATTAAAACCCTTAAAAGACCTAACTGAAGCAAGATTATTTTGAAAGTATACTACAACAAGGTTGCATAAACTGACTCCAAGAGATCTTTGCAGATCATTGGTTTTGGCATCACACCCTCGGTTTACTTTTCATTTTGATGTCTTGAACCACCGTGTTCTGACTACTCACTCATATGTTTTGCATCTTTCTAAAAATGATTTTTGTTTCAAAGGTTGCATGAACTTTGCATTTACCATGTTTGTACGAATACTTTTGTTTGCAAATTGGCTTTCCTTTCAAGGAACTTTCAAACAATTGAGAAACTTGGTCAGTGATCATATCAGGGGCAAGTTATTTTCAAATTCTGTTAAGAATCAGTTCAAGATTTGTCGTTCAATGCATACTTCTCAGAATTGGTTTATCCAGAATATTCATGGATAATATTCTTTTTATGAAAACTATTTTTTAGGTAACCCGTGGGTTTTACGATATCCACAGATATTTACAGATATTCATGGATAATATTCTTTTTATGAATATTATTTTTTTAAAGAAATATTTTTAACTTCTTTTAAAGACACAAAAATTTATTATCACATAACATTGATACAATTCGCTCTTAGTTTAAGAATAAATTTTTATTGCATTATTTTTCTTCTTATTCACCAAAATATAATTAGATCCAAATATAATATTCATACATTCCATTTTTAACTAAACAAATAAAAGATATTGTGATTGTGAGTTATGATGAAAGAGCGGACGATAGAGAAGTAGGAAGGGAGACACTGATTTGACAGAGGAACAGCAACACTAGTTGGTTGGACTATGAAATTGTTGAAGTGAGATATGAAGTAATGAAGAGTTTAAATATGAAATGACTAATCGAATTTGAATGAAATGTGGAAGGTTTTCTTAAAAAAATTTATAAAAAAAAAAAAAACTAATAAGACTAATTTTTGTAGAAGATGAAAATATCAGTATAATAAATTAATAATATTTAAATAATTTTTATAATTTATTAACGAATATGGATATTCGCGGACACATATATCATTAAACTTGTATTCATATTCATTAAAAAATGAGTATTTAAATATCCATTTATTTTATCCGTTGATATCCATTAAACTATCTATCTCATATTCGTGACGGATTTTATCCGCGGGTACAGAATTTTTTGTCATCCCTACTCATGGTTCAAGATAACCGAGAATAGACCAATGAAATTAAAGGAAATCATGTCATCATAAATCAAATTTTATATTGGTTCAATATTTGAAAACTTTTTTTCAATATTTTCTTAAGTTGAAAGAGTATGGCAGTCGAAAGATAAAGAAAATAGAAATAGAGAATCATACCCACAAGATTTATATTGGTTCACCACATTAAGATGGAGATAATGCAGTCCCTTTACACTTAAGAGATTTCACTATAATCACATTTGATTACACATAAAGACTTTGACAATATCGTCTTAAACTTCATTGACTCGCACTAGAGGACTTCTTTGCCTTACAATCCGAAAGGTCCTCCTTATCATAAACTTTAAAAATTTTGATTTTCTCACCTATACTGTATTTTATGTTCACTTATATTGTGTATACTGTGAACAGTAAAATAATATGTTCATACACTTATACCGTATTTTATGTTCACCTATACTGTGAACAGTAAAATAATATATTAATATTTTTTAAAAAATACAAAATAAAAGATTATAATTTTAATAATTTTTTATATTTTTAATTTTTAAATTAAATGATATTGATATAAAATTATGTAATTAACCAACTTTATAACTTCATTAAGCAACCTTATACATTTTATTAACCAACTTTATAACTTCATTAACCAATCTTGTACATTTTATTAACCAACTTTATTTGTTGTTAAAAATTATTTTGTATATCTGAAAATTTATTAACCAATTTTATAACTTCGTTAACCAATTTTTTATATTATATTAACCAACTTCATTGACTGTTAAAAATTATTCTTAATATCTGGATATTTATTAACCAACTTTATTGACTGAAAAAAAATATTCTTAATATCTGGACATTTATTAACCAACTTTGTAACTTTATTAACTAATTTTTTACATTTTATTAACCAATTTTAATTTATTACTAAAAATTATTTTTACCATCTGATCGTTTATTAACCAACTTCACCACTTCATTAACCAACTTTTTACATTTTATTAAACAACTTTATTTAATTATTTTAAAAACATTATTCATTCACTATTCTCGCACTGTTCATGTATTATAAATATTATTTTTTATTTATTAAAAAGATAAAAACATTGTTCACCGTATAAATACGATAAATAATATTTGGTGTAAGTACTTGATATAAAAAAAGAGTGTAAGAATAAAATTGCTGTTTATTTTTTTTACTGATCTTTGTCATTTAAAAATAAAAATAAATAAAGTCGTAGAATTTGAAATAGAATAAAATTAAAAAAAACTATATTTTATTTATCACATTTTATCAAAAGAATGTGTACTTGTCATTTCAGATTATATCACTCCTAGTATAATTTTTGTGCCAAGTTCAATTCTAGTTGAAACCACTTTCTAAATTTCAAATAATTACTTAACTTCAAACAAGATCATTATGATTAATGATACCATTATACACACAAGTCATCCAACCACCAAAACTCGTAAGAACAGAAACATTTTTTTTGCTATACTTAATCAACAGAGAACAATATTAGTAGCCATTGAAACCCAAAACTACATGGTGAAACTACTGAAAAAGTTTAACCATAGATCAACAAATATAGCTGCTTAAACTGGTGGCACTTTGACAACAGTATTGAGCCTTCTACTTCTTGGATACAGATACACTAAATTTCCCTTGGAAATAGAATGATCACTTTCGTCTTCCTCAAAACAACAAGGTTTATCTTCATCAATTCTTCCCATCTTTCTCACCTCAGTCTGATAACTCATTTTACTTCTATTATATCTATACCCCGCGATCCATTGCCTTTGCCTTCTTTGCATAACCATTTCACTCCCTATAGTATTTCTTATCGGTACTACTCTTTCTCCATTAGTCACGAACCTCATTTCATTGATCGGCGCGGTTCTGAAAATCTCCCTCAGTGACTGTCTTTCACCACCGTTTTCTTTAGCAGTGTCTGCAGGAAGGTGTGAAACTGACATATGAACAGGTGCAGAGCCAGCAATTCTTCCGGAACAAGCCAATAAACCATTAACATATAAATCCTTTGCTTTCTTCAGAATTCTTACGGGAGTTGAAATGTAATGCTTAAACTTGCTTTGCTCGTGTGATTCTTTTCTCATGCTTCCCATGATCTGCAACTGGAATGGAATAGATGCAGCCTGCAGAAGTCTAAATAACAGTGCCGTTTGTGTGTTTGATGAAAACAAGGTACCAATTAATAGTTGTGGTGAATATATAAAAAGTGGACTTTCTTGTGTTAATCTGCTTTGGACTTGCCCCTTCGAGCTAAGGTGCATACCACTTAAGCTTAGAACTTAGGCCGGCACAACGATATAGTGCCTTGAAGGACGGTCAAAAGTTCATTGGATCTTGTCATATAAAACCTACATAGAGACCAACACCACCACCACCGCCATACACGATATCAATTTAACACGTTGACATCAATAATAATTTAAAACTTAAATATAATTGAATGCGTTGGTATTAAATACCAAAAGTTGATAAAATGAGATTTAAATTTGTTGGGTTACTAAAAATAAGAAATAAGGGTGACAAAATGTGAGATAGTACATCTAATCAATTTTAATACTATTTAATTTTTATTATATTTAATTATTTATTAAATTATTTAAATTTAAGAGATTTTCAAAATAATGTATTCTATAAATAACTATACTCAACTTTTGTGATGAGTAGATAAGAGTTTTTCGTTAGTTTTATATTTGAATTCAGTGATTAAACAAATGTTAGTTCACTTTCAGGAAAAATCTTACTATTATTATTATAGTATTCAAATCTTACTAACTCTAATCAAACAACTAATAAAACATTTCACGTCCTCAGCCAGCACTATATACTGCAGCTTGCACAATATTTTATATATATAAGCCAGCCTGTGCATCGTTTAAAATGGCAAAATGCAAGAATCGGTAGTTTATGTTGCACATTAACAAAACTAGGTGGTTGGATTTGTTGAGGTAAAAGTGTAATTTAAGTGCATGTAATTGGTGCGGGACTCTAATTGGTTATAGTTCAAACATAATCGGTTAGTAACCGGTTACATTTTGTAACACTTGTTGTAATTTGGTCAGTAACCAATTAGTGTGGGGCTGTAATTGATTACAACAGTAGATTTTTTTTGTTTTTGTGTTATTTATTACTTGTATCTCAATCACAATATATATATATATATATATATATATATATATATATATATATATATATATATATATATATATATATATATATATATATATATATATATATATATATATATACCCCTTAGGTATTTTAATAATGATATGAACCCCATTTTCACCCTAACCATTACTCTCTCATAATCTCCCTCTCTCACTCTCCACATTGAAAATTATCATTCTTGTTCTTTGTCCTAACATTTGGCATCAAGAGTTTGGTTCGATTCGTTAAACATTTAGAATGCAAAAATGCTTTCCATTTTCAATGAGCGAATCTCTATGAATCTCTCAATTCTCGATGCGAAGAATTATGACAAATAGTGCAAACAAATGAAGGATCTTACGACAATGAGCAAGGAGGAGTTACAAAGCTCTCTTGATATATATATATATATATATATATATATATATATATATATATATATATATATATATATATATATATATATATATATATATATATATATATATATATATATATATATATATATATATATATATATATATATATATATATATATATATATATATATATATATATATATATATACATACCCCTTAGGTATTTTAATAATGATATGATCCCCATTTTCACCCTAACCATTACTCTCTCATAATCTCCCTCTCTCACTCTTCACATTGACAAAGTGACCCTTGAATAACGGTAGATGGAACTATTAGAATTTTGGTGGAACAGAATCTTAAAATTCCAAAAATTCAACATTAAAAAAGGGTGAAAGCAGTGACAATAGGGCTGATGGATCATACAACTCTAGAGGTGATAACATTAGAGGAAAATGAGAAAGTAATAAAGGAGACAAAAGTAGTGTGCAGTACTTTAATAGTCAAAAGTATGATCATTTTGCAATAGAGTGTAGTGCCAACAAGAAAGAATCTCAAGAAGAAAAAGCTAGAGTTGCAAGACAAGAGTAGGATGATAAGAACACACTCTTGGTTATGATCACTGAAGAAGAATGCACCAGTAGCAGGTCACAAGACAATTGTAAAATGTTACAGTAGGCTTCCAGAGAAGGCTGTAACTAGTTACCTATATGCTGTAACCGCTTACCAGTAGAAGAAAATGCCATGGTGACTAAGAAAGAGATTGTACAGTGCAATGATCAATAATATCTAGACTTCGGATGTACAATGCAATAGTAAATAAACTAAGAAAGAGATTGTATAATGCAACGATCAACAGTATTTAGACTGTACAATGCAACACACATGACGGGAAGAAAATATTGGTTTGTTACAATCTTTCGTGCTATGAATAACAAGGTAAAGTTCACGGATGATACCACTCTAGTGGTGAAAGGGATCAGTGACATATTGGTTAAGAGAATGGATGGCAACGATTCTTTGATAAAGGATGTGTTGTATATTCCTGAAATCAAGTGTAACCTTTAAAGTATTTGTCAATTACTTGAGAAGGATTACAAGATTCATATGGAGAACAAGGTGTTACATGTTACGGATGCAACAGAGTTTTGGTCTTAAAGGCTCCTATGGCTCCAAATAGAACCTCCAAGGTTGAATTGAATGTTATGGAACATAGGTGTCTTGCTATATAGGCTAGTAGAAAATAGTTTATATGACATTATATGCTTGGGCATCTTGGTTTCCGAGATCTAAACATCTTAATTTCCAAGATCTCAACGCCTTGCAAAAGAACAAGATGGTAATGAGGCTACCATTGATCGACATACCAACTGAAGTTTGTAAAGAATGTGTGCAATCAAAGCAATGTAAGGGAAAATTCAGCAAAGATGTTGGTTGTAAAGACAAGTTTCATCTTAAGGTGGTGTATTTAGATGTATGTGGATCGATAAAGTTGATTTTATTGGTGGAAATGGATATTTCGTCACATTCATTTATGATCATAGTAGAAAACTATAGGTGTACCTAATCAAGAGAAAAGATGAGGTACTTAAAGTTTCAAGAAGTTCAATTCCATGGTTGAAAGGCAAAGCGGTCACAAAATCAAAAGTTCTCAAAACAGATGGTGGAGGTGAATAAACAATTTTGGGAAGTTTTGTGATTAAAAAGGCATTGTACGTGAGTTAGTGTTACCTTATACACCAGAGCAAAATGATGCTGCCAAAAATAAGAATCGCTCTATCATAAACATGATAAAGAGCATGCTAAAGGGAACAAATTTGTCGAAAGAATTTTGGGGAAAAGTCGTTTCCACGGGCACTTATTTGCTGGAAAAATGCCCCAAAAAGAAGCTTGAAAAGATAACACCCAAGAAATCTTGTTCCGAATTTAAACTGAACATGATTCAATTGAAAGTGTTTGGTTCATTGGCATATCAACATGTGCCAGATCTGCTTAGAAAGAAGCTTGATGACAAGGGAGATCAGATGATCCTTGTAGGGTATCACTCTACCGATGGTTACAAGTTGTATAATGTAGAAAAAAAAGAATCGTGATTAGTAGGGACGTCGTTTTCGACAAAATAAAGGAGTAAAGGAGTTGCAACAACCTGTAACCAGTTACCAACAGGCTTTAATTGGTTACAACAATGAAAAATTTGTTCTCGCTGTGTTTGAATATGCTGAAATAGCCTTCGTTGAAGCCCGAATGGAAGAAAATGTGAGAAGATCAATGATAAGTGGTTTTCGTAGCGTCTTTACTAGTCATGTTACCTTAGGATTTTACCACTTTTTGTCTGATTTGTTTCCGTTTATCATATTTTATCCTTTGGTAGTGTGTTTTCACTAATTCCAGGGTTTAATAAGTGTTTGAGGAGAAAAAGAATAAAAAATGAGCAAAACACGAAAAATGTCAAAAGTCAGAAAATCCTCATACAAAATACAAAGGGCTACGGCCACCTGTGGCAGCAAGACCCTAAGGCTTCCTCCCTTTTGGTGGTCCAGTACAAAAAGCAGGGCTTGCTACGACCACCCGTAGCAGCTGCTACAGGCCGTAGAAGGAGGGCGAGACATATTTTGACTATTTCCTTTTTTAGACCAATTTCACATGTTTTTGGAATTTGGTATGTTTATATGTGATATATTCTAATGTAATGACAATTGAACAAGAATATATTGATCCCATTCTAGGTTTTTCTATAAAACTCATAGTTACTTGTGAGTTTAGAGGATCAAAGTTTTTTTTATGGAGTTTCTACATAGTCTATTTTTCTCTGTACTCAAGTCTCCATTTGAGCATTGGATTAAATCTTATCAATTCAGGTTTTCTTATTTGTTTTCATTACAATTCCTTTCCTGTTTCAATTGTCTATAATGAATTCAATTATGAATGTTTATTTTATTGTGTTCTTCCTCACTATGAGTGAGTAATCCATTACGGACTAGGGGTTATGGGTATCATCTCATGATCGTTTGTATGATCTGTCATAGGGCGATTACGAGAGTTCTTTGTCCAAATTTATTTTAATACCTGAGTTCATGCATTCTAACCCTTGTACGAAGGTAAAATGTCCTCAGGTACCGACTGTAGTCTGAAAGGATATATGTTGGTACCAAAGCACAAGTTTTTAAACAAACAATTCCAATACAACGAATGCGCTTGGATGAATTTGAGAAAGTTCCAATTTTTATAGCTGAGCAAAAGTAACGAATCTCTGACGAATAATACGGTCAAGAAAACGCCAATAGATTATTCGTTGTCGACAGGGTGACACGTTGGTGAAAGCAGGTGTTGTCCAATTTATCTACTTTTTATAAGTTGTGTTGAAACTATCATAATAGAAGTGACTCAGAGTATACAAATGTGCCAGAGTGATAACCATGACTCTAAGGCTTGTTTGTCTCCATTATGATTTAAGTGATTTTTAATTAAGTTGTTTCCTTATTAGTGCTTTTTATTTAAGTTGTTTTTACTAAATCTCAAACTATTGATTCCTCTAGATATACATCGATAAAACGAAGTTCGGTACTTAAACTATTGGTCCTTGTGGTTCAATAATATTTTACTACTTTGCACAACCATGCACTTGCGGTATGTCAAATATTTGGCGTCACTACCGAGGACCAGTTGTGTTTGATATTGAATTACTGTTTTACCATTGTATAAACTAGAGCTTTATTTTTCTATTTATTTTGATGTAGTTCTCGGTGCTCTTGCATGCGAAGAAATCGTTATGCTGGGAATTTAGTTGAGCCTGTGAACGAAATCGAGCATTTCTCATGTGAGAGACGCTGAAATCTTATACAAAAAGCCATGGCTGATCCAGTAGTTGACATTAAGCATCTTAAGGATTATGTGATTTCTACCGAAGACGAACTGCATTATAGTATTGTGCACCCACCGATTGTGGCAATTGAACCATCTAAAAATCATTTTTCCAAGTTACCATCTAAAAACACGAACCATCATCTTTCCCTATTTGTTGATAATTATGGTAAGATTAAGGCTAATGGCATTGATTCTAAACATTTGAAACCATGGCTTGTTTGCATCATTTGTGTTTGAGCCAATTTTATCCATTCTTGGGCGAATCTTAATCTTGAGCAAATCCTCTTGTTGTAAAATGAGAGGTATACTTTGCTTGAGGACAAGCAAAAAGCTAGTTGGGTCGAGTTGTTAGATGCCAAATTTCACTTATTTGATCTATCAAATGTTGGTATTTTTCACTCATTTTCGTCAATTAAGTGTTGAAGACCACTCTTGTTTTGGTTGGTTTGCAACATTATGAGAAAATCTCTTGGTACCTTTGATTTGTGTGTTATTGTGCAGGAATTAGGCACAAAACAAGTGAAAAGTAAGACACAAGAAATGGGCAAGGAAACCAAGACAACATGCAAACCACCAAAATGTTGTCATGCTCGCTAGGAGAGCTGATAGCGAGCAAGGTAGCGAACGCTCGCTAGTTGTTCGGTAGGCGAGCAGGCCAGCGAACGCGCCCAGAATGGGACAGAGCCAAAAGTGCCAAACTTCGCTGGAGCGAATAAAGAAGCGAACGTTCGCTAGCTGTTCGCTAAGTGAGCAGGTAGCGAACGCTCCCAGACTGAGTGGGGTATTTAAGTGTTTTTAGTGTTTTTTTTAGGTAATAACTCCATTTTTGGGAGAGAATTTCATTTTGTAACATTTTGGAACATGAGAACTTATCTCTCTTCATTTCTTTAGAGAGAGAAACACAAAACCCTAAGAGGGAGGAGGTAAGATCTTCGATCTCTTGTTGGGGTTTGGATTGTAATCTTTTGATACCTTATGTATTTCATCTAATATATGTTTGTGAACTTATTTTGGATTCTCTATTGATTGAATATCTTTGATTAAATTTGTGGGTCTTGACAAAACCTTTTCACATCTTTGATCTCAGATTTTCTTCTATCAATGAACAAACTTTTGACATGGTTTTGAAGTTGATATTCATTGTATCCTCTATGGTGTTGTGTTGATTAAGTAGCATGGGTAGCATGGGTAGGATCAACATGATATTGTGTGAGTATGTGATAATAGTGATGAAGAACGATGTTCACCGACATTTGGCGGATTAGATGAATACATGTAAAAAGGGTTAAGCGTGTGTACGTATTTTGATCATTGTGTTTTATGCAAAACAATTGTTTATCTGATATGGGTTTCATTCTTGTTTACCTGTTAATCTTTGATTTGAATCGTGATAGAGATATACTTTTCGGATCTGGGTCTAGGATGATTACCCGTTAGGTCCTAAACGCTAGAGATAGATTTAGGCTTAGCATTTGCGTGAGTATCAGATCTTAATGCTCTGTGTTGTGTTTTTGTTGGGTGAGAGATCACCAATGAGACAACACGGTTTTTCTCTCGACGCCGCGTTAGAGATAAGCTTTGTCGTGAGTGATACACGATGATATTAGACGAATGATTGTGCTGTGTTTAATTTGATCAGAAGAATGCATATGTTATCAATTGATGAAATCCAATCCCAACAAGGCTCCGTTTATATTTCAGTCTTTATTTTATAATTTCTGTTTTTATCTATGGTTCTTTGAACACCAAACCTTTTGAACAATAAGTTTAGAAATGTAGAGGTCGTTGAACGACGTTCATATCGCACTGATCCCTGTGGAGACGACAAAACTGGGTACTTAATATTTTTTGCTTGCTCAGGCGGAAAGTGAGGGCCGCCCGAGGGGTCAGGGAATAAATCTAAAATACCTCAGAGAACAATACAACAGTATTGTCTTAAGTGAGGATAGCACTGAATATGACAAGATAGTCAAAACACGGTGCTATTTTATGATTTTGTTCAGTCACTTTTTATTTCCAGAGGGAACTGGAAATAACGTACAAATTATATATTTACCATTATTACAAAATATAAGCAAAGTGTGCGAATATAGTTGGGGATCAGTTGTCCTCGCCCATCTGTATAGCGCACTTTGCAAAAATTCCAAAAAAAATCTTGTACTTTTTATGCCTGTGCCTATCTCCTACAAGCGTGGGGTTGGTTTAGGATGCCAACGATTGCTCCAATAAACCAGAATTCTTTTACATTCCCGTACGCCAACAAGTAAGTTTCTTTTCAAGATTATTTAGCAACCAAATTTTCTTTGTAAGTTAATAATTTGTGAGATGTGTTTTAGATGCTAACTTATATGTGTTTCTTTTTTTTAGGTGGTTTGTTCCAGGGATGAATTATCAGAGATGTCCCAGACACTCTATAATTCAATACTACAACCTCATCGACCACCTTGGGCCAGATGATGTAAGTTATTTACCTTTAATTTGTCTAACTTATATGCATAAACTTGTCTATCTCTGTCTGACTAAATGTATCCACCTTTATTGTAGTTTGTCTAGATGTCGTACGAGGGTCTCGACCACCAGCCCGACCCCAATGATGTTGCTGTGTGGACATTAAGAACACCTAAAATTAGGTTCACTACGGTGGAGATACACCAAAGTGACCGGGTGAAGCTACAATTTGGGATGCATCAGGATATTCCAGATGCTCCAGTAGAATTGGGGCAGTGACATCAAAAGCGGGTGGACTCACAGTGGAGTGTCAGTCATTGGAAGGAGATTGCGAAGGAGTTGTGTAAACACTGGAAGAGAAGAAGGCAGCACGTCTTAACCGACCATATTGTGCACGGGACTAGGCCAAGTCTTCAATATATGACTTGGTTTAGGTCTGTCACGACATCTCAGCCATTTCTGTCCGAGCCAACCTATTTGGTTGACCCAAGGCAAAGCGCTTCTTCGTCAAACACACAACAACATTCCAGTGTCCAAAATCAGTCTTACCATAACCCATACATGCCACCAAATGCCCCCCATCAACAACAACATCCATACCATGACCCGTACATGCCACCCACCCAGTCCCAGCCTCAACCACCATACCATTATAGCCCTTATACGTCTTTTGAGCCTACCCCCTCCAACTATAGCCCAGACAACTCATTTGACCCTACCCCCTCCAACTATCAACTGTCATTTGACCCTACCCCCTCCAATTATCCAGTGTTTGACTACCACACCCCACAATAACCAACACACAATTTCCAACCCAATTCGATGTACGAATTCGGACAACCATACCGTTCATACTCCACCCAACCTCCTAGACCATCCTACGAAAACATGGGTATTGAGCTTAACTACGGAAGCGCCGTTCATAGTGGACCTCCCGGCTATTAGGGACAAATGCTGCAAAATCTATCTAATATGTCGGGGCCGTCCCAACAAAACCCTCCTCCACAACTCAACACGCAATGACCAGACACACCACAACAACCTCGTCGTAGACCTCATCGCAACGCGCATCCCCCACAATGTGACACCGGTGGTCGCTTGGATAGAGTCGGTCATTAGTTTTATTTTCCAGTTGGAATTTTTATTATATTGTAAATTAATATATTTTAATATTTTTTACATGTCTATACACTTTATGTTATTTAAATTTCAATTTCAATTAATTATAGAAAATATAAACTATAATTTAATAACAAATATTTATTAATACATAATTAAAATATTTATTAAAATATTTATAAATTTAATAACAAACTTAATGTTATTTTCATTTAAAAAATATCAAAACGTAAAATTAATGCATTAAAAACGTTATGAATTAAAATAATGGAAAAAACAAAAAACCCTAGTAAGCCTATGTCGCCAATCAGTGTGGCGAGGCCCATTAACATTAGACTGTGTCGCCGATCAGTCTGGCGAATCCAATCTTAGCTATACTGTGTCGCCATTTCAGTTGGCGACCGAAGGTTGAATTTTAATTACTTTGGAAAAAATTTTGAAAGCTGCATTTATATAGTAAATTATTATTAATACTTAGTTATTGTAAACAAATATTGGGTTTGTGCTTAAAAATTAATTGAATTGAATTTAATGATAAAATTAATAAAATACTATAATTTATCAAAACATTTTTGTTAAAGGTAATTAATTTTATTAATGTAGTAATGTAAAAGTTAGGCATAATAAAATTGAATAAATAAAAATACATTGATACAATAAAATATTAAATATTAAATTAATATTATAAAATTATTATTATTTTGAACAATAATAATAAATAAATAAATAAATAAATAGCATTTTTTGAGTAAATAATATATTTTTATTGATAAATAATAGTCCTTACCTTATAAAAAAAAATTATCATTTTTTTAATGAGGTAGAAGAACTAATATTTAACAAAATTGTATAAAATTCGTCAGAAAAAAAAATTGTATAAATTTCAGGCATATATGGAAAATCGTTCTGATGGCGAAAAAAAAGAAAATAGAAATGATCTCCAGGCTATGGTTGTTGTTCATTCATTCATAGTGTTATTTTGATAAAATACAATCTAGATTCTAGATAGCTCTAATCTATTCTCCAAAGCAGAAATGAGAAAAACAAGAAAGATTTTATTATATATCTATTATCTTGATCTAACTTACATCTACAGATGTGAAATTATACAGTGAGGTTATGCTTGCCGGGATTATCAGCGGCTTTCAACGTCTTCTCAATAATCTTACGAGCTTTTCTGCTTCGAATCTCCACCTTCACGCTTGCACTCTTGTCGATCTTTATGTATGGTTTCTTTCCCTTCTTCATCTTCAGTGTTGACCGAACCTTTGACTTTATCGATTCCACCAGATTTCCCAACTGATTCGCCATAGAGCATTGATCAATCAATCAATCTGCAATCAACTGAGTCACGGAACGAGTAACACAAAACTCACTACTCATTCTCCCTTTCTATATGTAAATAAATCTCAACAAATTGCCCTCGATGCTACAATTTATTACCATCTTTGCCATCCTTGCGACGCACCGTTTCTAACTTTGATTTGACTTTTTTTTCTTTCTATTCACACGCATCTAATAGATTATTAATTTCGTCTACAAAAGGTAAATTATATATTAGTACATCTAGAATGGCAATGACTAAAGTGTGTCTTACACTAACTACGTACGTATATTAAACATTTTAATAAATTAATACCCGTCTTTTTAAGAAATAAATATAAAATTTTAAATACACTACTAGTATTTAGATCCGTGCCGTGTATAATAAATTAATTATTTTAATGTATAATTAATATTAAATAGAAATAAAATATATAATTTAATCATATTTTTAACTAAATTTTGACGTAATAAAAATATTACTCACTCTGCTCTTTTCAATTGTCCCTTTTGTATAAAGATTTCATTTTCAATAGGTGTTCTTATTTTATCAAAATGATTCTTAAACAATAATTATGCAAAGAGAAAAAGTCAAATATAAATTTAACAGAGTTAAAGAGTATTATAAATAAAAAAGTAAGTATTATTTAAAAAGTAAGAATACTACGTATCTATTAGCTTCTTTGATAATAATATTTAAAATGAATAATTAAAAATAAAATGAGATATTAATTGAAATGTATTGATAGTGAAAATTTACTTTATAATATTATTCAATTAAAATTAACTATTTTGACTTAGAATTAAAAATAAAATAATATTCTGTATTATACATTTTGACTACTTAATTTTAAGTTAATAGTATATTCAAATTAATTTCATAATATAACAATATAATAGGTTGTTCAAAGTATTAAATGCAACCCATATTTTGTGACGGAGATAGTGAGATTCAAAATATTAAATGCAACAAATTAAATGATTTTGTTTTGTTCTCAATTTCTGGCTCAAAGTCAATGATAGTTAGGTGCATGAAGTAATGAATATTGACCGTTTGATTGTGGAATTAATTTGGATCTAAATTCAATTCATTGAATGGCTGCTTGGACCGGCGCTGATGAGTTAACGAGGTGCACAGAGTTGGAATTTTTTTTAGTTTATCAAAAATAAACAAATGAATGATTTTACTATGAAAAATGATAAGGTAGTAGTACCTTTGAAACCAAAAATTGATTTTTATTAAGCTCAACCAAAAATTGATTTTTATTAAGCTCAGTTTGTTTTAGCTTTAAAAAATAATTTTTTTTAGTATTTTTGAAAATAGATTTTATAAAAATATTATAAATTTTTTTAAATTTATTTTTATAAATTAAAAGATTAATTTTAAGTTATTATAACATAAATATATATTATTGAAGAATAAAATATAGTTAAAATTACAATTTTTTTAAAAATTTATATTTTAAAAATAATTTTTATAAAAAGCTATTTGAAATAGCTTCAAAATTAAGTGATTTCTTAAAACTTTAATATCTAAACTCTTTTTGATAAAATAATTAAATATTTAAAATAATATTTTAAAAATAATTATTCAAATCAAATTTTTATTAAAAAAATATATTACACTATAAATATCATTTAAAAAAAACAAACAGATCCAATACATTTTAAAATATTGGAGCAAACAAAAGCTTAGAGATAAGAATTTAAATCTTATAATAAAAAACAGTTTGAATTTCTTTTAGAGACTCAATGAAACCTAATTTAATTTCATATCAAATTTGATGACTAAATGAGACTAGGGTCTACTTACAATATTTATTTGTTGAAATTATCATTATTAAGTTATACTAACATATATATATATATATATATATATATATATATATATATATATATATATATATATATATATATATATATATATATATATATATATATATATATATATATATATATATATATATATATATATATATATATATATATATATATATATATATATAATATTTGTTATTGTTATCGATCAGTCAAACGGTCTAATATAATTGGTCTAATATAAAGTCAAACACATCACTCATCTCAATTATTTGAATCCGTTTAACATCCCCCGCACAGAACAATTTGTTCACAGGATCGGTTATAACTGTTGTTATATATAAGTCTGATTGTGTCACACCAAGGTATAAATTATTATCAAATTGTATGCTTCTTCTCTCTAACTTCATTGACTTGTTATTAGAGTGCTATTCTTGCAGATACACCCCATTTTCGCATACCAGAGACTTCTACCATTGTGTCGAAGGCCTTCCATAGTGGACATCACCAACCTACCACAAATTTCCCCATTGGCACCGCATGTGGAAATTGTTTCTTGATTCTCACAAAATTTCTTTTATGAATTCTTGTATTCCTTACGTTGTCTTGCCACAACCATTTTTGTTAATCGGTCTAATCATTGTTAACATCTATAATTGTCAACGATGGTAGCTTCCAACGCGATTGGAACCTCCGTTCATTAGAATGTCGTCCCTACGACCAACATCGATGCACCTAGTCCTCACCCACACCTCTGAAGAACCACTTCCCCCCTGGGACGAGTGATACAGTTTTAGTGACTCTCAAATAAATCATTTATTGAGTGATATTACAATAATGTGCCAACACATGATTTAAATAGGCCATAGTAAGGTACTCTCGAGCCCTATGAAAGAATTTGCACTGACGAACAAGCCGAAATTTTACCACATCCATAAAAGTCATGGGCACAACAATGATGATTATGTATATTTAAAGGATGTCAAAAAAGAGCTAATTAATAAAGGAGATTAGGAAAATACGCCCAAATAAAGAAAAAAGAGATATGATTACAAAAGACATGAATGTTCCCCCTATAAGGTCTAGAAGACATATTGATTCACTGCAAAAGAAAATGTCTCCTCACCGATGTGAGACGCTGCATAAGAAAATAATTGAGGCTATAGAGAACACCATTAAGGGAAAATAGTAGCAAAGAGGAAGATAAAGTTCGTAAGGGAAAACGAATATTCATAGAATCCATCAGTGGATGTTAAAACTTCATTGTTTCTATCACTTAAGGTCTTTCACACATGTATACATCATAAAAAATGATTGTGAAAATGAAGATTTCAGAGTTAATGACAATGAATAAAAAGGGGTAGACGCCTGCTGATGATAAGCTGGAGTGGTCTATCACGAGGTTTAGAGATGGTGAAAAGGTAGGCAACATCCCTAATTAGATGTTCGCACCAGTGATTATGGAGACCATGGTCAATATCTACACCTCGAGGATTCTCATTGAGGGGGGGAGAGCTTGTGCAACATCATGCACGCTAAACTCTTTGAGAAGATGTGCTTGAAAAAGGAAAAACTATCACCTATATGGGTTTTAACCTTCAAGGTTGCAATTGAACAGTAACTCATCCTTGGTGTTTTATAGACTGTATGGTTACCTTAAGAGAAGGAAGAGGCACTCGAATAATAGACTTACATTTTCTGGTGGTCCCTTGTATAAGTGTCTACAAATTCATCTTGGGGAGACCTTTCTTAGCAAATTTAGATATTATTGCCTCCGTCGTCCACCTGAAGATGAAGTATCATAACATACACGATGAATCAGTGAGTATATATGCTAACTTGGCAAGAGCCCAACAAACGACTTTGCACCATGAAAATTCTCCATCGGTAATCCCTTTCATGATCAAGAGCTACCTAATTTAAAGATTGTCGCACCTATGTCATTTCCATTATGTGATTTCCAACATTTCGCGCAATCCTTATAATGTAAACTTTTCATTACCAAAATAATAAACAATATTTTCGTCGAGAATCCTCGTATTATTGTTACATGAATGGCATGATAAATACTAAATATACACAAAGTCTAAAACCATGAACACAAAGGAATGCGTTGTCAAAAACCCTAAAAATCTCAAAAGCAAAGGTAGTGAATGACTAAAGCCAGCAATGTAACACAAAATTGAGGTGTTACAACCAAACCCTAAATGCAAAAAACTTTCATGATTAAAGGCACTGAAACCTCAAATCTGATGGAGGTGATTTTGGCTCATCTCATATTGATAGTTTGCCACTCCAAAGCATATGAGGTCAAACCCCCTCTTACGTCGACCTCCAACAAAGTTTTTAGTTAAGGGAAGGGAAATGGAGCAAACCCTTGGTCAGGCATGCTCCTAATAGATGTCCAATAAATCAACTAAGTGTGATTTCTTTTGTTTAGTTCAGGACACTTCCCATACACATAGTGTCTCTTGGGTTACTCTACAACTTACTCTTTATTTCTCGCATTGATCATCCCTTGTACTTTTTGATGTATCCCCACCCCATTGTTTGTAATTGTATATTTGTTGCTATCCTTTATTTATTTAGGTAGAAAAATTAATAATTAGATAAAAATAAGATAAAAATATAAAATCAATCTTTCAAAATCAAAAAAAGACTTGGTCAACACCAAGCTTCCATTTTTAAAAACATTGGTCAACATCAATTCATCACCATTTAACTTCATCCTTTTGTCAAAACCTTTTTCAAACTAATTCTTGATCCACATATCAAGGCATACCCAACTTGTAAGTCGATTGCTTCATGCATCGCCATCGACCTACCTTGATCTATTCACCACCCATTTCTTTTCAAACCTTTTTCTCTATTTCTTTTGTTTCTTTGAGTCCAAAAATATTGGTCTTGTACCAAGTGCATTTTCAAAACTTCTTTTTCCAATAAACTTAGATGGTTGTGGAATGGTTAGGCGAAGACCTTCTCCTATTCCGAGTGTTTGACATTACCTTTAGGGTTCACTGTCATAAAGTACTTACCATTCAAAACCAAAATATCTTTAATAAGATAATAAGTTTATCTTTGTATTGAACTAAAGAGAGAGGATTGAGTTAAGACTCCTTCCTCTTCGAGTATTAGGATACTCACTTTAGAGTGTGTGGTCTCAATACTTG